AGAGAGAGAGAGAGAGAGAGAGAGAGAGAGAGAGAGAGAGAGAGAGAGAGAGAGAGAGAGAGAGAGAGTCTGTAAGTCTCCCAGCATGCTACTTCCATCGATAGGATGAGCAAACCAACTCCTGCTAGCAGGTGCTCTCGCGCCAATGATGTTTCTTCTAATTAAAAAAGAAGAAGAAGAAAAAAGAATGAGCAAATAGAATGAATCTATTGCTAGAAATGGAAATATACACTGCCACACTTGTTTGTGTGTGTGTGTGGCTAGAACATGGAAATATACACTGCCACACTTGTTTGTGTGTGTGTGTGTGTGTGTGGCTAGAACATGGAAATATACACTGCCACGTGTGTGTGTGTGTGTGTGAGAGAGAGAGAGAGAGAGAGAGAGAGAGAGAGAGAGAGAGAGAGATTCCCCTGAGTGCCTCCAACGGAGACAGGGGCACACTGAAAAGATCGATGGTACCGGTAGGGGCATATCGGACAATTTCCGAATGGCTATCCGGTAGGGGCATGATGCAAATTTGTTGTGGGTCCGGGAGGGCACTACGAAATCTTATGAGCCCCAAACGACACCAGGGTTTTATGGAAAATAATTTGACTTCTGGTGAGAGGGGCGCGACAGGGTAAATCGGCTGTCGGAGGGGCGCGACGCAAATGAATCGAAAATAAAGGGGCTCCAGACAAATGTTTCCAAAAAAAGATCATTTAAGTTATTATGAAAGCAAAAAACAAAAAACGACCGGGCGAGGAGCATGGATATCATCGACATAGGGGCTCGCTGCACTACTCTCGACACATGCACAAAAGACAAAAATATTTGCCATGTATCTTTCGATAGTCTAGCATAAGATTCACTCTCGTTTTGCACATTTCGAGAGTAGTGCAGCGAGGCCCATAATGACGTGTGGAGAAGAGAAGTGGTGAGAGCGCCTGCGCGGCGTAGCGTAGTTATCATTGAGAGCGTGGGAAGTACGGGGGACGTTGCGGGACGATAGGAGACGGGTCCGGGGGAAAGCGTTTCGCAAAGGGCGCGAGGGCCCTGACGGGCCAGTAAGGAGAGAGGCCAGGCGCTGTGGCGACCCCGACTGTCGTGCCACGCAGACTGCCACGACATCATCAAATCAAATCAATATTGCGTCCCATCTCGAAGTTGTTACGTTTTGAAAACGCTCGCAAAATTCGAAAACGCCCGCCATCCACTTCCACTCCCACTTCATTGAGCAGCRTACTACGTCGTCCCGCCATGCATTGAGCGCGGTCACTCCAGTCTCCTCCCGCGCAAAAATTCATTTCACTACTTCACTTTCATTGGGTCGTACTCTCCGGTCGACATTCCCCATGGCGGCGAGCGGTTCAGTGTGTCAATATGTATGCTGTGGGGACTCACTACCGGTAGCGTCGAAAACCATGGAGCTCATCGGCCCCAGGGTGTGATTCCACCCCTCGACTGGTTGACTCTGCGGAGTGACACCCGTCCCAGTCGCAGGGTCATCCCCTGCAGTCTGTTCGGTCGCCGCGTCCGATCGGGCCGAGGGTGTGATTGCTGATTGCACACCTTAGGATCACCGACTCGTGACCCAAGATTGCAAAGATCAGTGGTCGACACGCGGCAATTGTTCGGGGCGCTGTCCTTCGGCTGTGTCAGCGTGATCAGTACTGTGTCTCCCTTGGAGGAGGTGAGGTTTGGCGGCGTGCGCGCCTCGCCTCAATGTAGGCGGCGGTTTGGCGGCGTTCACGCCAAAGACCCTTTGGAGCTGCGTCGCCCATTGCAACGTATGCGAAGCTGCAACTTAAATGCAACAGCAGCATACGTACAAATATCGGAGACCGGAGAAAGCAGGGCACTTTTTTCGAGCTCCACTGGTTGTTGTGGATTCCATACGTTGTTGTACCCTGGCGGTAACTGTGGAGCAAGCGGTGAAGCGGCGTTGTCGATGACCTCTGTCTGGGCTAGTGAGCTCTGCTGCAGGTTCGCTGGCCGGACGTGGGCAGCGTTCGGCAGCGGAAATGCCTGTAGAAGCCATCGCTGGGCGGGGAGAAATGGCGGATTTCGGGCTGGTCTAGGTTGTGCTATCGATCGGTCGGTCAGCTTTCCGGTCGCTACGCCAGCGGGATTGCGGCGGAGCATCAGCTACAGAGGAAGGAGGAGGGCGGGGACGGGGAAGTTGCTGCGCGAAGTGGACCAGGTGCGACGTCGAGAGCTGCGGTTCGTTGGTGTTGATCGCGGCTTGCGCTTCCTGCGGACTCAGCTGGCCCGGACGACTAGCCGCTCTCGATCTTGCCGGAGGAAACCTCTGTTTGAAACTCGCGGGCTACGCTCTTCTTGTCGTGGAGCTCCTTCGAAGGTAGAGAGCTCGCAGACTCGTGGTCGTCGTTTGCGGCATGGAGAGACTGGATTGAGCTTTGCCGACGGAGCCTACGATCGCCTCCCGCCGCTGGTGAGACACGTGTCTGCGCCATTTTCGCCGCAGGTACGTGCCCGTTTGCGCCGACCTGTTTGCGCCTGTTTTGCTTCGAGCTCGACCATCCCAGATTCCATCGACGAAGACGACGTCGAAGAAGAAGACGACTCCGCTTCTCCTGCCTTGCTCGGTGTTGAAGACCACCTTTCTGGTGTTCCCGCAGGATTGGCTGTCCGTTCTCCGCGGCCACTGGTCCATAGCGAGGAGGGCCTGGAAGAAATGGCGGCGGGCATCTTCACTGGAGAACTGCCATCGCCTATGGCGATTGTCGACGGCAAACTCATGGTGCACGGGACATCGATCCTCACGGAAGTGCCGAACAATGTCATAATTTCCCCTGATGAGACTATGTGGGGTGCCACCGGGGCTTTCCTAGGAGCCGAATTCGACAGTTCCAGCAGCCGCCACGTGGTGTCCTTGGGTGTTCTGCGGTAAGTATTCTCTCTTACCTGCGCTTGTCTTGTGTACTTCTTATAAATCTATCGACGGGTTGGTGGTTTGAATGCTGTAGAGTTGCACAAAAAGTGGCTCCGCTCAGACCACGGAAGCGATTAGCACCGTTGTTCTTTTCCTGATTGGATTGTTCCTCGACGGGATTGATGAAGATATTTGATGGCCGACAGATTGATTCATCTGTTATGTGGGCCGGTGAATTGCCAAATGCGAACGTGTCCACTGATTTTCTTAAAGGACGTAGGCTAACGAATTGTGGCCCCGCACAGAGGGCCCCTATTATGGATCTGTGCTTCTTGCGGGGCTTTCCTCGGGGCCCAATTCGACAGATCCAGCAGCCGGCACGTGGTGTCCTTGGGTGTTTTGCGGTAAGTATTCTCTCTTACCTGCGCTTGTCTGTTTACTTAAGTATTAATCTATCGACGGGTTGGTGGTGTGATTGCTGTGGGTTTACTTATTAATCTATCGACGGGTTGGTGGTTTGAATGCTGTAGAGTTGCACGAAAAGTGGCGCCCCGCTCAGACCACGGAAGCGCTTAGCACCGTTGTTCTTTTCCTGATTTGGTGGTTCCCCGACGGGATTGATGAAGATATTTGATGGCCGACAGATTGATCTGTTATGTGGGCCGGTGAATCGCAAAATGCGAACGTGTCCACTATTTTGTTAAAGGACGTAGGCTAACTAATCGTGCCCCCGCCCAGAGGGCCCCTATGGGTCTGTGCTTCTTGGTCTATCTCACAGGGCGTACTGTCTGGTTTAGTGTTTGGTCTAGTTACTAGTATTACTTTGTTCATCTCGTCGTTCGCAGGAATTAATCAGCTTTGGGGGCGACTGCTTCAATAACTCAAGAGACTGCTCTGCATTCGGATTAGATTACCCGAATAGGCTTGTGAACGAGTGAACGAGGAAACTGGAGAAACTGAAAGGTTGTGGTGCAGAAATGAGGAAAAGAAAGGAGGTGAGGACGGACAAGAATCAATCGAATAGGTGATGCTGTCTTTGTTCCGCTTCGATCTCCGCTCTTTTTTGAATAGGTGATGCTGTCTTTGTCTCGCTTCTATTTCCGCTCCTTTTTCTTAAGTACGCTCCCATTTGATTTCACATCTGCTATACAGTCCTATCACCTGCTTGCCACCTAGCGCAACACGAACCCCGATCAGGAATGTATACGAGCTACCTTTCAGGTCTGATACGATCATAATGATATGCGTTGTGTGCGGGGAACACGAACCCCGATCAGGAATGTATACGAGCTGTCTTTCAGGTCTGATACGATCATAATGATATGCGTTGTGTGCGGGGAAAGAAGCCTAGAAGGGATTTGATAGCTTTGGCGTAATGTAGTATACTTACTATACTACCGTCTTAACCCGAATAGAACGTACGGTCATTATAGCTGTTTTTTTTGGGGCAACTTCAGTGTAGATACAGCAATAACGACCGTACGTTCTAAAGACGGTAGCGCACACTGAAGAAGTCACTGGTAATTTTTTCATCTTGGATTTCCCATTAAGCTCCTTACAACCCCCCTCCCCCCTGAATTTGAGGGTAGTAACAACTTTAGATTATTATGGTGGTTCATCGTTATAAATCATCGTTATGATGCCCATGATCACTTGGCCGTGCCTCTGATTGATTGGGTCTTGTTCTTCGCTGAACGACCGCCATCCAAATAATCTTCCACGATCTGGTCAGCGAATCATTTTACAGATGCTTTTGTCAGCGAATTATTTTACAGATGTTTCTCCTGTATATGTTTGGTTGGTGAATGAATGAAATTCTGGTGTGCCCCTGAACCCCTGTTCAGGGGTCCCCTGTATAGGCTTATCGGAGTAGTTGTAGGTAGGTAGGTAGGTAGGTAACAGAGGTGAATTTAAGAGGAGAGCATAGCATTGTTGAAAAAGAAGAAATTATGGTGTCCAGAGATTCGGGGACGATTTGCTATTTGTCGGGCATCAGTCGCGTGTCGAGGTGTGAGGGATGCTGATCTCATGGATATGTGGATTGATGTGATCTATCGCTGATCAATCCAGGTCCGTGGTCAATGGTTTTGACTTTATTTATAGTTCTTAACTGGAATGGGAGAGGCGAAGCGTACAGCGGGCTTTGGTTTGATCGAGTTGGAGCAGGCTCTCGGTTCGTCATCGTCAGAAGCTTTTGTTGCGAACAAGTCCCTCGCGAAAACGAGGCCGGACACAGGAGGACAACTGCTCCCCGAGCTGATCGCACCAGCCATGCAGATTAGTGATCCTCTTAGGTTGTGTTCGTTCGATTTTGTTAGCAAATCGGATATACAGACATCGTCAGAAGCTTTTGTTCTTAGGTTGTGTTCGTTCGATTTTGTTAACAAATTGGATGGACAGATCGTGGACAATCAATTAAATAGATGGTTGAGATGATGCGGAGCACAAAGATGGATGGCTGGACGGATGCGTTAAACTTTGCGGGCGGACAATTTTAATTGCAGGTTAATTGCCTGGTCAGCTGAATGGATGGCTGGACAGATGGACGGATGGATGAGGGGCGATATGATGACGTGACCTTGGCCATCAAGTTATTAGGGGGCCGACAGTTTCAACTCCAGGTCAATTGCCTGATTAGCTAAATGGATGGCTGGACAGATGGATGAGGGCGATGATGACGTGACCTTCTGATATTTCTATGGGACGTGCCTGTTGAGAAATTTCTATAG